GCTGGTCTGGAACTCACAGAGATCTGCCTGCCTCTGCTTCCCAACTGTGGGATTAAAGGTGTGCAGCACCACTCCTGGTAACCAATCGATATTTTTATATAAAGATACAACTATGAAAATTTATGAAAAGAATCAAGTCTGTTCAACGTCAGTCAGAAAAACCACTCATTAAATGTAAACCACTCACGTATTTCAACTCAAAAGAGACTTTAGTAATTCAGTGTCTACATTAAAATTCATAAAAAGATGTGTATTACTTATCACTGTAAATCCAAAGAAAGATGACTAAGACATTCAGGGATATAAAGAAATCCAGAGGACACAAAGAAGGAAAAGAACTAAAGCAAAACAATATGTGAGGGACAGAAGTAGCAATGTGAAATGGAAATGTGATGGTGGTGCTCCCGTGGCATGCCCAAGCACGAGAATGCCGTGCAGAATTCCCAGGAAGGCCCAGCGCAGTACTACCTAGTGCACGTAACAACTGTCCTGCTGGCTGCAAGCCTCAGCTAGCAGGTGCCTACTGTCCTCCCCTCTGTGCTGGCTTTCAGCAAATTCATATGCTGAGCCGACTGAACCCTTATCTTCTTCCATCTAGAAGGACAGAAAAGCAGTAAATCTCATATTGCAGAATGATAGTCTCAGTATACAGTTTAGAATCAAAGCAGTTGGGTCTACAATCAGAGGCACAAGTGAAAGTTCACATAACAGCACAACTACTGCCACAAAACAGAGCTAATGAGCTTCTTAAGGGGAACAAAACAAGGCATACAAAGTCATGATTTCTAAAGAACAAAGTTCTTAGTAATGCACAGTCTACTGAAAACCAAATTTCCTTTAGTAAAATTCTATTTCTTCTGTAAAATTCAATGCCAACAAGATTTAGGATTTGTACTGCAGTTACATCCAATTTTACACCCTTATGCTTCCACTTCAGGAGACTGCTGCAGAGCAGAAGGGCCACATGATTATAAACATCAAATGTGAACAAGGAGATTGATTTAATTTACTTGTTGACAAAATTAAGTTGAAATATTTCTTTAGGAAAGGTCAACTGATTCCTGTCTGACTTTGGTTGAGAACAGCATCCTCTTTCTGTTTATCTTTGCTGCTGATTTTAAGTTAGTAGCCAAGAGCACATAAAACGTCCATGCCTGCTGACCAACTCAGAAGCCTAGGAAGGAGAACATGTTGGGAATGTGTATAGGTTGGAGGAGGAATAGTGAGTGTGACACCAGCACTCAGGTCAGCCACCAAGGGAGTAATACTTTCTCCTCTGCAACACTAGACTGGGGAGTCTAAGGATGGCCATCTGACCCATCAAGCTTGCTTTTTATGGTTGTTTTCAGAAGAATGTTAATCTTACTAGTTTATTACAAAATTATAAGGCCTGGATCTCTTTATGATTTTCTTTCCTCATTCTTTTAGGTCTACCGTTGCTTAAAAAGAGTGGTTTGATTTAAGCCAGCATGATATGTTAAAATATGAATTCCTAATAATACGATTAATCACAATACAGGCTATCTTCACTTGACAAAGGAACTGACCAGCATGTTCTTTTAAATAAGGAGCTCTGCGACAGAGTTAAATAACTGGATCCTCAAGTAGTGACAGATAGCCACTGATGATAGGAAATCATCTACTGATAAAATTGTGTTCTACATATTTCCTCAACCAAAAGTAAAAATAATTATTCACATTTGTTTGGATTTTAGTTCTTACAGACAAAATATAGTTTACCACTTAAATACCCATTTGTGACACATAATTATACTGTTATCATTCAAAGAGAGTATTTTTAAAAAATTTGAAGCTAATAAAACATAAAATGCTTAGTAAAACTTTATAACAGCTTAAATTACAAACTTACACTATCATCAAAAGGTTAAATGGTGTTATGTCAGTCACTCGGTTGATCAAGTGAATATAGATTAGAAACTTTGGAAAACAAATAACTATCAAAAATATATATAACTAAGGATCGATCAGATACTGACAAACCAAGAAATTGCAAAGTTTCAAAACTAAAAATATTTTAGTCATATTGCCTTTCTTTCTAAAAATTAGGTTAAGCTCAATACTTCATTTAGATATGTTATTATATTATCAGAAGTTCTAGGATTTCGGTGTTCATTTCCTTCGGTCAAAAGACGTCTCTAGACTACTGGTAATTTTGTGCAAACTGACAAGGTGGGCACGGCTGTGGAGACAAGAGTAAACGTGAGGTATGTGAGATGTACATTTCAGTTTGAGATACACTGAAGAGTAGCAATGAGATGCTTGTGCAACCATCACACCACCAGGCAGACATACATGTATTTACATCACAGATTCAGGCAAGATAAAAATGGACTGCTCTCACTTCCAAGTAACTGCATCTTAAGTTCATACTTTGTGATATGTTCTGCAGTTCTCATCACTCAGCATGCAGGAGCAGTCTTAGACATGAGGGACGTGACAAGCAGAAGCATTAGAATTATGCCAGAGAAGACAGTTTGGGTGTCAAGATAGGCAACAAGGTACAGATCTCTGTCCTTTTACGCTCATTTTCATCTACATGTTCTTTTCAAAGAAGAACTGGGTATCATTTTAGGTTTTAAAATGCATATTAATAAAGGTTAAATTAGTCAGAGACAGAGCTGTGCTAAAAAAAGGCCCCACTCTTGATTCATGCCTCTGCCCATCTTTGGATATTTTTAAACTGACCTTTGGCATGCAGAAGAGTTAATGAGGTCTATCCTACTCTACCTAAGTTTGCTCAGCTGATTCCTTGCCCTCGACAAAGGCTGCAGTGCGATGAACTCGTCACTTAAAGCGACTGTGTTGGAGTACATCTACAAGTAGACAGAAAAGGGATAGGACACACACAAGTCAGAGAGCCGCATTCATTACCTAGGAGACACAGGACAAGCTTTGAAAATACCAAACATCTGTTCCCACAAGAGCAGGAAATATGCATGGTACACAGAAATGAATGACATTTGTAGGATCTTGGCCAGGGCATAGAAAAGTTTACTCTTAACTTTTAATACATTCTTATTCTGGAGAAAAACAGAGCTTGGGATAACTACTGACAGCTCTTCGTTATTGAATGATTGACTGATTGACAGGGTCTTACTATGTAGTCTTGGCTGGCCTAGAACTCTCCATGCAGACCAGGCTGACTTTGAATTCACAGAGATCTGCCTGCCTCTGCCACCACACTCAGTGACAGCTCTTCTTTTGATATGACTTTTCTTGCTATTTTTGGTAAAGGAAGTAGCTGGCAACTTTGTAGCCATTTATCCATCCTTTGAAATCAGAAGTGACAGTAGAGGCCGAAATAATGCTTACTATAGCCAAGGGATATATCTGCCAGATGGGACAGAGATGATGACATGCTGTCTCAGTAGAAAAGAAAGACAAGACAAGACAAAAGAGCAGGGGGAGACTGAAGACCCAGGAATGGAAGTAGAAATTCTGTCCTGTCCTCAACAAGACCCAGAACATCTCATCCACCATTTGGATATTTAGATAGCAAAAAAGGGAAATTATTCTTTCGTATGATAAAATTTAGTGTAAATTCCATTTTTAAACAGTTTTAACAGTTAAGAGTCAAAACACACAGAAGTAGTTTTGATTTTTTGTTTGTCTGTTTAAGGCATTCTTTAAAAGCATCAAATATTTCTTCTGTAACACTTTAAAACAAGGCTACATAAAAGGTAAAAGTAATTAATATTATAACTTTTTGGATCAGTAAGAAATCTCTGTAAAATATATACTAAGTTTGTTAACCATAGAAGTACTAAGGACAAATGTAAATAAATTTTAATATAATGTTACTCATATAATTTTTGTGAAATGTAATGTAATATAGGCCAAAAAGGAGACAAATTGTTCTCTATAAAAGTCTAGAAAAGTATAAAAAACAATGTACTAAAATTGATTAAAATGTATTAGTCTTTTACTATAAATATTTACTTCTGAAGATTAGAAATAAGACAGGCAAATCTTTCTGACATGGATTTAATAATATATTATAGCATGGAAGCCCGGCCCTAATAACATACAGACGCACATAGGCAGACACAGCAAACATTTAGATGCTTTGCAGCCCCACTTGGAAATCAGTATGGCAGAGAACACCCTCGTCCTCGTCACTCCTATTCAACTTCAACAGCATTGAAATACACATTCGTGCAGGGCATGTGGCGCAGGCCTTTAATCCCAGCACTTGGGGGGACAGAGGCAGGCTGATATCTGTGAGATAGAGACCAGCCTGGGATCTAACAAGTTCCAGGCCAGCCGTGGCTACAGAAAGACCCTGTCTCAAAAAAAAAAAAAAAAAAAAAAAAAGGGACTTATTCCCCAAATTATTTTGATATATCACAGTGAAAGATTTATCGTCCTCTTTTTTTTTTTTTTTTTAAAAAAAAAAAAAAAAAAAAAAAAAAAAAAAAAAAAAAAAGGGACTGTATTACCAAAGAAAATAACTAAGAACTGTTGAAGCAACCACCTGAACCATTTACTGAGCACTTACTATGTTTAAAAGGAATGAACATTTCTTTATCATAATTTTACTAGCAGGGAAACTGAGGCTCAAAGTCAAAATGCTACCATGCAGCAGAGCTAGGAGCTGAAGTGACATCAGTCCCAAAACATCACAGTCTTAAGCATGAAACATACTGTTAGCATCTGCTGTAGTTTAAAGACATGGCTATAAATCTCATTCACGGCGAAATGATGCAATACTGTGATAACATTTAAAAGATATTTTCTATTATCATCTGGGGATAATCTGACCATTTGATATTTTAAAATGTTTTACATTACAATTTACCAGTAGTCATAAAATGAATAGAATAAGAAAAAAAATTTAAAAGTACACATTTAAAAATGTTTATATTGGAAAATACTTTGATAACAGGAATAGGTATTTTCTGTCACACGAAAACTGTAATTGTAGCTGTTTGTCACTAACACTCCTAAGTAAAGAGATACTGAGTATGAAAAGTGCCTACCTGTGCCTTTTCAGTACTTGTAGGATGGAGATGTCGGTCAAATACCTTCTTCACAACATCAAGAAACAGACAAGTAACGACCATAAGGATTATGGCAAACCAAGTGGACCCACTTGACAAGAGCTGAATAAATATAAAGTACATATTCTGGGAGCCCAAAAAAGGCCTGCAAAGAAGACACTAGACTCATTAAAAGTGAACAAGAGCAGGCATGGTACCACATATTGTAATCTAAACACTTGGAGGACAAGGTAGGAAAATCCTGAGATTGAGGGCTATACAGGGAGACTTTGTTTCAAAAATAAACAAGCAAAGTAAAACTGAGTTAAATCAAGACATCATAGAAATACAAATAACTCTTAAAATAACAATGTCAAGAGCATTCCAGGAAACTGTTCTAAATTGAAACTGGTGTAACTTAAATGAATAATAAGACAGACTTTGTTAAAAAATGAAATGCAGTTTATTTTTCATAACAATCATACTTTTTACTAACAGCAGAAATGGCAAACTATTAGCTATATAACTCTTTCTCTTTCTTAGTGAGAAGACTAGAAAAGCATAAAGAGTAATGCAGACTTCAGAATTCAGAGACCAAGAAATAGTGTGTAAGAAAATATTTTCTTTTGATTAAAAAAGAAAAAAACCTGGGCCAATGAGATGGCTTGGGGTTACAGCACTTGCTGCCCAAGCCTAAGGACTTGAGTTCAATCCCTGGAACCCATGTAAAGGTTTTGAAAGAAGAGAACTGATATTACAGAGTTGTCCCCTGATGTCCATATGTGTACTGTGGTACATGTATACACACATACACACACACACACACACACACACACTAATAAAAAACCAACCCTTGATCATCCAAATCTTAAGACTGACAGATTTTAAAGGTTTTTCTTTTGGAATTTTTGTTATTTTTGACAAGGTCTTCCCTAGTCCCAGCCTGCCTGGAAGTCATGACGTAGACCAGACTGGCCTTGATCTCCCAGAGATTCACCTGCCTCTGCTTCCTGAGAGCTGGGATTAAAGGTGTACTCCACCATGTCCAGCATCGAAGTTTTTTCTTTATAAATAGATATAAAAATAAATACAGTAAAAAATGCTAGCTCTATATGGGGTAGTGGTATATGGAGGTATGCTTTTTGGGCTTTTGTATGTATAACATCAAGAAACTAAAAGGAAATACAGAAACAAATGGAGAAAGTAATACATAAGTGTATTCTTTTATGATCCTTAATGAAAGTTAATGATTAGTCAATCCGAGTTCTTTGTGCTTATGTTCATACATTTTTCCCCTGGTAAATGGACCTAAGGCACAACAGAGACATGTAATATACATACTCTCCAAAAGTAAGACATTGGTTGTCCATCATTTACCAAAGAATCTTAGGGAAAGCACGAACTTTTGATCTATCAGTCTACTAATGATCTAATGATCTTACATTTAGTGAAGATGAGACATACTATTAAATTTTGAGAGTGATATTAGTCAAAATTTAATGGACTGGGGTTGTGCAGATAGGGGAGGGGGTCTAAATACAATTAAGATGTATTGTATGAAATGCAGAAAAATTCAATAAAAACATAGAAAAAAGAAAAAAAATTAATGGGCTCTATGGGACTTATTTTATTAAATACATGAAAAATTTAAAGGTAATAAGGTTAGTGTAAAGAATATTAACTGTGAAGGCAGACGAACTACTTGGAGCCTGGCTTTGTTTCTTTTTCACTTCTGTGACCTAGAGGCTCAGTTTCCATGTAGAAAAATGAAAATAGGGTTATTGTGAAAATCAACTCAAAAAGTAAACTTATTACCAACATAATGTCTAAAAACTATCATGAGCAGAATTTGCACATAATAGAACACATAATAATAAATGTTCACTATAGTTAAATCAACATAATTAAGATATAGTATAGTCACTCACCAGAGAATCCCACCATAAAACAAAGAAAATATAAAATAAAATATAATAGAGCCCCAGGTAACAAGATGGTTGATCCAAGTCCAGAAATGAGTTTCCAAAGCCATCTAAAAAAAAAATATGTCTTAGCAATACAATAAAGCTTTACCTTCTACATAGAACTCAAGAATTACAAATATTAATTATGGGTGGGAGAGATGGCTCAGTGGTTAAGAGAACTGGCTGCTCCTGCAAAGGACCTGGGGTCAGTTCCCAGCACTCACATGATTGCTAACCACTGTCCGTTAACTCCAGTTCCAGGGGATCTGACACCTCCTTCTGACCTCCCCGGGCACTGCACGACATGGGTGCATCTACCTACATGCAAGCAATACACTCATACACATAAAAAAATACCCAAAACAAATATTAATTATAAGTGTTTAAAAGTTCCTAGGAGACACAGTATTAATGAAAGGGTCTTAGTAGAAAATAGCATAACACTTTTCTTCTGAGTGAAGCAGTACTGAAATTTCCATGTGATGACATGACCTCAACTCCACAACACAAAACAAGTTGTGTTTTAGATGATATACAGGCAAAGCAAAACTTCAGTAATTTGTGACCAAAATCATATGAAGCTTTCCAAAGCAATGAACATGAAAAAAAGTTTCTGGCAAAAACTAAAATGAATTATTAAAATTCAGTGAAACTATGCACTACTGAAAATGCAAAAGGGAACATACATGTGTACAGCTAAAAGATGAAGAAAATTAGCTACACAGTGTGCACACGTTTTTAATTTAGTACTGTACCTTTACAGTGACTGTAATAACCATGACTGTGAAGACTAAAGTACCAAATGTCCAGTTTCCAAACATCTAAACACAAGGAACAGACTGTTATGTTACAGATAAACACATGCTAACTCAATGTAAGGTAAAAGCAATTTCATCTTCTACAAAAAACTCTGAGGAGAACCATAACAAAGCACTGTTATGACTATAATACTGCACAACGACCCTTTTGGTAGTAAAAAGATCACACTAGAAATTCAGAGATGGTTCAGAATCCTGTCACAGACTGTTTTTACTTGGGATGATACAGTTACTGGTGATGGCTTTACTCTCATAACATTCTAAAAATTATAGTAAAACCCTGTTTGACCACAATTATTTTATGAAAATTTTGCAACCAAAAGTTACAATAGGACACTTGCTACAGTACATCTGGATACAAAATCTAAGCACACAGGAAGAAAGAAATTTAACCTTAAAACCAGCATCTGTAAGAAAAGATAATGGTCAATGGAATTATTCTTCAAAGGATTCCAGTAAAAGTGCAAGTCAGTCAGAAGTACTCTTCTGGTCTTTATAGCCCCACCTTATAAAGTTCATCACACACACAGAATCCCAAGAGTATCAGGATTTTATTTCCATTAGAATGTAAGTATGTAGCTTAGGTCAATTTAGTTTACAAGAATCATAATCTTAACATTGATTTAGAATTTGATTTAAAAGGCTACAAACATTCTAATAGCATTTACTTAAATTATTTATTTATGCTCATTTGTAAAATGAGCATACTTACAGGTTTCAGTAAGATTTAGAGTATGGAAAAATTAAAGAGTATTTGTCAAATAACTACTATTATTAACAACCGAATATCAATGAACATTTCTTTATTTATGGGTACTCTGGAGTCTACAAAGAGGCAAAGAATTGGAGAAAGCATATTGAACCTATGTTTTTTCTCAGTTTTTACATCTGCAGACAATGAATCACAAACGCCAAAAAGTAGTGGGTTTCAACTCAGCCCCCGAAGTGCCAGTCTTTTCTCTGCAGGAACGTGGGGGCGATTTGGCCTGGAGATGGTAAAAACCACATGCCTCGTCTCTAGTATCTGGTTTTACTAAAGGCATGCTATGCCACACTTTCCTTAGAAGGAAAAAGAGAAAGCCTTTTGCATAAGTAACATTTGGTAGCTTTTTTTTGTGTGTGGGGTGCTTATAAAGACCCAGCTCTTTGGGGATCTGGCTAAAAAGTGATCTGAGCTTACATTTTTTTTTTTCAATACCATTAACATTTTGTTAAGCATTCTTTAAAAGTATTATATATTTTACCTGGCCATTTCCGAGCAGAGATATATCTTTCCCCATTAGAAAATAGGATCCAAAAAAGAAAATAAAGGCATGACTGAAACCCAGGACGGTCCAATAAAGAAATGTTTTAATGCTTAAGAGATGATTTTTACTAATATCCCTGTAAATTTTTTTAAAAAGAAAAAAAGAAACACATTAGAAATCACTTTTTTTAAACCTATTACAAAATTATTACAATTAAAAACAAGATGGAGTTTTAAGGTAGCTAAAAAAAATGTTAGCAGAAAGAATAATTCCAAATTTACAAACCATTTCTAGTAACAGCAGATACTGGTATAACAGCTTGCAGTTGATGTAATAAATTCCAAGAGAATTTCTCATTTGTTTAAAGAAATATGATACAGGCATAATACTTCAGTGTAACTGTGAAAAGCTAATTATCAGTACTCTGTTCTCATTTGGCCACTCTGCCATGATGATGCACAGAGGCTCTCCTCAGTCTCTTATTTCCAACAGTAACTAATGAGAGCATATATATCCTGGGAGATAAAGCAAGGTATCCCATGTGGTGATAACTGGCTCTGTCTGCTAGCCTCTGTAAGAGCTTATGATAGGAACTAGGCTGGTCCTCACAGGCTCCACATCTCTGTGATTACTTGGTTTGGGAGAGCAAGAAAACAGCAGGACTTCGGACCTACCTTGCACTTTACTCTGATTAACACTCATAAATTATCTAATAGTAGAACAGGAGCTAATTTTTAAGAACTCTAGAGATACTAATGACTGAATAATGTCTTTTGTGCACATGAAATAGAACACTGTGTCCAAGAGTCCTAGAATGAAAGCGTTTGTTCTTAAAAACACTGGAAAAATGACTCAAATTCTCTCAAACATTCAATAACATTAAATCATGCAACCATGCTTTCCTTATGAAAGTATTAAACATATTAATTACCAAGACACGACCTATACATATTTGACACATTCACCCATTTTTTAAGATGTATGTTAAAACTGATAACTAGTGCACACTTGCAATTAGAAATATGCGGACATTTGATATTGGAAAATACTTACCGATAGAGGGTGGGCTTGCTCTGTAATATATAAGGGTCTATATGTTGTTCCAAAAGACTGTATGTAAGAACAGGTAGAGAAGTAAAACAGATGTTGTATAAAGTCAGGTACACGCTGTCATACAGTGTCTAGAAAGAAATTGAAGGAATTTTGAGACTCTCAATTACATATTTCTGTTATGCATATAACCACAATGAAACATTTAAAAAGTGTGCTAGTTTTTTCAACTTCTAAAATCCATTAAAAATTTCAATTAATAATTCTAATTTGCTTTAATATTGAAGCAATAATGTCTGAGATCTATCTATATTCTTTGTGGAAATTGGAATATTTTGTGTTGTATTTGTCTTTGTTTAGAAATGTAGTGAGGTAGATTTACATTTCAAGATTCTCTATTTTACGTAGCCCTCTACATGCATCCTAGGCTTCCTGGGATTTCTCTGACAGGCCACACATACTGTTTTCCTCTGCTCTGACTTTTCCTGTCTACCCTTTTTTATACTATTATAGCACCGACACCTCTCCTTTTCCATGGAAGTTTTCCTTTTTTTGTTTTTCAATGGCTTAAGTTCTCTAAAGAGACATAGGTGCTACTGCTTGTACTAATGCCTTAGCACTGTGCCTATGGTTTACATATTGTTCCTATTATTAATACTGTCTCTTTGAAAACCTAATTCAAATAGGTCGGGCCCCTTTGTCATATGGTCATAGATTTGAGCTTTATTTCATTCAGGCAAACTGTTGCTAGTCATCAATGTCTAAGCAGCTATTTAAAATTTAGAGCCATATCTTGTAAACAGGAGAAAACAGCAATTACCAATAGGAACTCATGAAAGTCTAAGGTAACTGAGCTCTGTTTTTTTTTTTTTTTTTCAAATTTAAAATACATAGTCAGCTATGGGAAAAGGGTATTCAATTAGTCAGAAGCAGCAGGTCCAAGTCACAGCTTAGTCATTAACTTGGCTTTGTGATCTTACACAGCTATTTAAATCTGAGTTTTACTTTCCTTTTCCATAAAATAAAACATGGGTCAAGTACGGCAAATAAGTTACGTATATGTAAGCCAAGACACATCCTGTGGCCATTACAACAACCACTAACAGATTAGAGCCTTCCCTTCTGACTCTAAAACTTCAGAAATGCTTTCAGTCCAGTATTCCAGGAGCTTCTATGGAGAATAAAGCTAGTTTCTGAGGGGAAATTTATGTTATCTTTGGACAAATCACTACAGTTCTTATCAAATTTTTAAAAAGTTCAGGGCCAGAAATAACAAAATCATGTGAACCTTTGATACTTATTCGGTCTGATTTGATATACTACAGAGATGTTGAAAAAAGTTTTATCAAGGGTTAAGGAGGTAATTCAGTTGGTAGAGCGATTTTGCCTAGCATACAGAAAGTCCCTAGCACTGCCTTTGGAGGGCGGGGCGGTGGTGGGAAGGGGGAGATCAGTTATTGTGCCTGTAATCCCACACTTGGAAGGTGGAGGCAGGAGGATGAGTTCAAGGTCATCCTTGGCTATATAGAAAGTTAATGACCAGCTTACGTTATAGGAAACCTTATATAAATAAATAAATAAATAAATTAATTAATTAATTAAAGAATCAGCAAGGCAAGGTGGCGCATGCCTTTGATACCAATGCTCCCAGCAGAATCAGGCTGATGTCTCTGAAATTAAGGCTGCTGGGGCTACAGGGAGACCTTGTCTCCAAAAAAAAAAATCAGAAATAACATATATTCAGTTATCAACAGTAATCTCAAACTCAAAGCCAGAATAAATATTATGAATGTTAGGCTGATTAAATAAATATACTACTTAAAGAAATTTTGCCTGGTTATTTATAGAACTAGGAAAAGCTAAAGTCTCTCTAAATACCTATCAAGATTTTAACACATTCTAAAAGGACAAAACAAAAGATTCTATTTACTTACTTGCTGAGAAAACAAACAGTAGAACTGATACAAAAACTGGGGTGTGATAAAGCACACATTCTGAAAAACAAGATTAAATGGAAAACAATTCAAATATTTACAACTAAAGAAAAAAGTCTTAAATGGTTACTGAAGTGTTTAGAAACAGAATCTCAGTTGATATTGTAAGGAAGTGATTTTGCTCTAAAGACTTGCACATATAAAAATGAGAAAACAGAATTCTCATTTTACTGAAATATGTCTACAAGTAGCCTAAGAAGTAATGAGGATATTACACTGGAAATTTTCTTCATTCCTACCATTGACAAGCAGTGAAATTTGCAAGTTTCTATATCTTAATACTTGTCATATATAGGATAATCTGTAACAGTTACTTAAATTGTAGGACTACAATAGCTTTATATTCCAAAAATATTTAAAACACAGAATGGAGCTAAAAACATCTGTGTCAGTATTTTTCATAATACAACTAAAAGCTAGAAAAGGGTAGAAAAAAACTGCACATCCGTTTACAGCACTGTGTAATCACATATATAACAGGTAGAAGCTATAAAACAACAGGTTAGAAGAAAACCACCACATCATCTTGCAGCAATGTGCAATCTACTGCTGTTCTTTTAGCTTGTAGCTATTAATTAGAGGAAAATATACAACACGGTACTCTGGTATGTTAAATGTCTTGTTAATAGGGACTCTTTAACACGGGTTCCACTGAGTCTCCTATTCCTTGAAAGGATTCAGAGACAGAACAGTGTTTCAACATTATTAGTTTCTTTATAATCTTTTAAATTTATTTATTTAAAAATATTTTATTATTTTTTATGTGTATGAGTATATTGCCTGCATGCACGAGTGCACCCATGTCGTGCAACGCCACGTATGTCAGAAGAGGGCTTCAGAGTCTCCTGGAACTGGAGTTAAGGATGGTTCGTAGCTGCCATGTGGGTACTGGGAATTGAACCCAGGTCTTTTGCAAGAGCAGTCAGTGCTCTTAACCTCTGAGCCATCTCTCCAGTCCCTATTTATTATTTTTATTTTATGTGTATGAGTGAGTTATTTTATGCGTGTAAGTGCACCTGTGTCGTGCAATGCCTGAGGACGTCAGAAGAAAGCACCAGATCTCCTGGAACTGAGTTAAGGACAGTTGTTAGCTGCCATATATATGGGTGCTGGAAATTGAACCTGGGTCCTCTGCAAGAGCAGTCAGTGCTCTTAACTGCTGAGCCGGCTCTCTAGTCCATAGTTTCTTTATAATCGTAAGTATTTTATGTTCTACATATAAAAATCCTGTAATTGAGAAGCTTATACATTTCACTAGCTCTCATAAGGTAATACTGATAGGACAAAATGATTAAAGATCTGTGCTCTGAATTCATCAAGGTGGAGGTTCAATTAAATTTATTACTATATTGGGCTGGAGAGATGGCTTGGTGATTAAGAGCACTGGCTGTTCTTGCAGAAGATCAGGGTTCGAATCCCAGCACCCACATGGTGGCTAACAACTGTCTGTAACTCTAGTTCCAGAGGATCTGACATCCTCCTCTGTCCTCCATGGGCACTGTATGACATGGGTGCACTTACAAACATGCAGGCAATATATGCATACACATTAAAAATAATAAAATGTTAGGCCAGGTGTGGTGGCACACGCCTTTAATCCCAGCACTTGGGAGGCAGAGGCAGGTGGATCTCTGTGAGTTCAAAGCCAGTCTGATCTACATAATGAGTTCCAGGACAGCTGGAGCTACAGGGAGACCCTGTCTCAAAAAGACCAAAAAATAAATAAATTAAAAAAAAAATAAAAAAATTATTACTAGATCAACATTAAATTTACTGTAGCTGAATTTGCACCAGATACAACATCAATTTTAAGTGTAAATTTTGATGTTTGATAAATTTATATGTCATAAAATTAGAGAATGTTTCCAAGGTGCTATGTATGCTACTGGAGGTAAAAATAATCATCAACCTGATTCAGCTGGACTCCTATGAACTACTGTAACTACTGGCCTGGTACGATATGTCCACTGGTACAATAGTGGCACAAATATTATGGGAGTAAGCACCAATTTTTAATAGGATTTAGGGTCTGTTTCCTAGGATGGAGCCCATACCTGACACTGATATCAGGCTTAGGAACCTGAGGCTAGACAGGTCATAGGACGTAAGGGAGAACCTAATGTTCTTTTTCACCAATTAGTTATCTTATTAAACTGACTTTTAATGACTTGTTATACACATAGATTAATGTATCTCACAACTCTCAGTAGGGAAGTTTCCTTATGCAACAGAAGCCTGCAACTGGCCAAAATGCAGAGAATAAGAGGCTATGTGTAGAGTGCTTATCCCTGAACAGGACTCCTATATCAAACTTTTCCCTCCCAAGGCTCAGGGATCATTGCAGAAGAGGAGGCAGAAAGACTGTAAGAGCCAGAGGTGGTGGATGACCACAAGGAAACAGAGTCTTCCACACAGCTGGTCAGTTCCTTGTACGAACTCACAGCAACCATGACAGCTTGCACAAGTCCCATGTAAGCTCAAACCAGATAAAATCCTAGCACAGACACAATGAATGGGTAAGAAACTCCAATGCCACCTAAGGAAATTGTGGCAGCAGACGGCTGTTGGGGAGGGGCAGAGACAGTCTCTTTCGAGCATGGGACTCTTGGTAGGTTAACCAGGCTCCAGTGGATGGTCTCACACTGAAGGACATTTAGGATATATATATATAGTAGAGCACATTAACTTGGGCAGGGGGCAGTAAGGGGAGGTGTGGATAGGGAAGGGGATCTAAATACCATCAAATTATATTGTATGCAAATTGCAAAAATTCAATAAATTTTTTAAAGAGTTCTCTCTTTTTGACATTGTGTGTGTTTTCACACGTGTGTATGCACATACGTGTGTGGCACGACAGAGCACGTGTCATGGCACCCATGTGAAGGTCAGAGGACAACTTTCAGGAGTTAGTTCTCTTCTTCTACTATGTGGATTCTGAAAATTGAACTCAGGTGCCAGGGCTGGTGGCAAGTGCCTTTACCCACTAAGCCATCTTGTTGGTCCCAAACACTCTTATAACAACCCTTTCCAGTAGCTTTACTACCTGCACCCTAGTAGCACAGGCAATCACTGATTTACATTCTGTCGGCATTCTATTTATTAGAAAATAGTTATTTTTACTTAAACTATTAAGAATAATTTGAATGGTTATAACAGCCCTTACATTGAAATTTCAAATTATACTAATAACTAACTGATTCTAATAAGCTAATGAAACTCACCTTATAAAAAAAATACTGTACAAGGGTAGCTATTCTAATATAATAAAAATGACCATGAACAAAAAGTAATTTAGAGAGAAATTTAAATCGTGCTATTGCATAGTCACTATTTCTTGCAGCTTGTCTTCCTTCTTTACCCATGATTCCTGTAATAAAGAAGACAAAAAGCCACGTTCAATGATAACCCAAAAGTGTCATCTGCACAATACATGTCACTATCTGAACTGTTTACAGTCGTTAAAGCTGCACTTAGGAACACCAAACCCTAATATACAGCAGTTAGCAGCTATCCGAAAGGATGTTCTATGTAAATATGCTTAACATGAAGTTACAAAATATACTAGACATATAGCACCAATTTTCAAAGAATTAGAAGAAAATAAATAGGAAAATAATATTGCAAGTTTAAGATCTAATATAGGCATCAATTACTCTACTAATATGTACAAAGTACTAAACTTACAATGGACAGTATACTCTAAGACAGCTTTAAATTTACCAGTTACCTAAGGAAAAAGAGCATATTTTACTACTCTTAAGCTGCTGTGTATAAGTCAGTGTGTTTTTTAAGTAAAAAATATTTTATAATAAATAAATAGGAAAAAAAGTGCAACCTGAAAGTAATGCATCATTCTTTTTTGGAAAAAAAACCTGGAAATCTTTTTAAAAAATGTATTTTTCATAGCATTTTATGTTTTAAAATAATTGAGTGACCATAATAAGCATTCATTTCTTTTTCTGTGATAGGACCATACTAAAAATTGCAGAGCATTTTTAATTTTAAAAAGTATAAAACAGCCGGGCGCACGCCTTTAATCCCAGCACTCGGGAGGCAGAGGCAGGTGGATCTCTGTGAGTTCAAGGCCAGCCTGGTCTACATAGCGAGTTCCAGGACAGCTGGGGCTACAGGGAGACCCTATCTCAAAAAAGACCAAAAAAAAAAAAAAAGTACAAAACAAAGGCATGATTGTTTTTACAAAATAGCATGCCAAGATTATTTCAGTATCATATAAATAGTTCAGGCTTAATTTAAAATTTTTTTTATTTTATTTTATGAACGTTTTGTCTGCATGTATGTAAGTGCATTTGTGTCATGCAGTAATGTGCAGAGGCCAGAAGAGGGTGTTGGATCCCCTGGAACTGGAATTATAGACAGCTGTTAGTTGCCATGTGAGTGCTGGGAACCAAAACTGGGTCCTCTGCAGGAGCAGGCAATGCTCTTACCTGCCATCTCTTCAGCCCCTAGTCTATACTTTATAAAGAATTTGATACCAGGAAACATTTTGGAAAGCAACATTAACCTGAAATTAATGCTAACTCTTATCATTTAAAGATTGAAAAATATCACAAAAAGTAAAAATTATTTATTAACTAAAAATTTTAAGCAATCAAATACCATATACGGCTATGTCAACCTCTGACTCATAATAATGTTGAGTCGTTTCTTTCACTTTTGTCTTTACAGTAGTTGAATCACTGCTGTTACAAATACTTTCAATCTGGGCGCTGGGCTCCTCTTACTCTATTCAAATTTGTTCTCTCTTGTTAAAAAGAAAAATGTTTTGTCTGATTTCAGTTTTGTCATTGGAAATGCTATCAGACTTAGATTCCCTTCTGATTTCCTGTACCTCACACAATTCACATCTGCTGCTTGTTTTGTTTCTTCTGATAAAGTGTTTATAAAGAAGCACAGCCAGTAGCCAACACTGAATGAATCTTCAAGCAAGGCCAAGGGTATGGTACAGAATCATATCAATATTGCCAATTTCTGGACTTTGAATTTTTAATTTTATTTATTAATTTATTTTTATGAGTGTTTGAGTGTTTTGCTTGCATGTATATAAGTGCACTGTGTGTGTAGTGCCTGTGGAGGGCAGAAGACACCAGAGCCCGTGGGACTAGAGTTAGGGACAGCTGTTTGTCACCATGTGGGTGTTGGGAACTGAACACAGGTCCTCTGCAAGAGCAGCCAGTGCTCTTAACTGCCGAGCCATCTTTCTAGCTCCTATTTATCTTTTTTGAGACAAAGTTTAAATATGTAGTCCTGGCTGGCCTGGAACTCATTATGTAGACTGTGGTAGCCTTGAACGCAGCGATCTGCCTGCCTCTGCCTCCTGTGTGCTGGAATTAAAGGTGTGTGCTACCTTGCTGGGCAATTTCTGGATTTCTATTGTTTCTAAAATTTACAGTTTACTGAAACAAAACACACAGAATTTGTATATTATGAAAGTAAATTGCCTGTCATGGTGCTGCACACCTTTAATCCCAGCACTCAGGAGGCAGAGGCAGGCGGATTTCTGTGAGGAGTTCAAGACCAGCCTGGTCTACATAGTGAGTTCCAGGCCAGCTGCGGCCATAGGGAGACCCTATCACAAAAAGACACTGCCCCTCCACCCAAAAAAAGAAAGTAAATGTATGAAAGTTTATGTTACTTGTAAGGCTCAGGGTCAGGCACGTGTCCTTGAACATGGCCACAATAAGGCACTGTGTGAGGACCTTCTCCCTTCAGCACACTGCTGTACTGGTTCTGAGACGCTTGACACTTAGCCTCTAACGTCACATTTTTGCTTTAAACTTGAGTCAGACTTTCTCTTCTACTAACATATCCATGTAAATTGTGAAGCTTTAATTTTTCTCTGAATTGGAAAACATTAACTTTCTAGTATATAGCAATAAGGAATTTCTGTAGGGACATGTTAACCTTTTTATGTTTGTCCTAGTTTGTCTCTCCATTGCTGTGACAAAACACTCTTAGGGAGGAAAGGGTTTATTCAGCTTACATCTCCTGGGTCACAGTTTATCAGGGAGCCCAAGGTAGGAACTCAGGGCAGAAACCTGGAGGCAGGAGCTGGAGCACAGGCCATGGAGGAACGGTGCTTACTGGCTTGTTCCCCTGGCCTCTTGCTCAGCCTGCTTTCTTATGCAACACAGGCCCACCTGCCCAGGGGTGGCACCACATCACTCAACAAGAAGATGCTCCTCAGACATGGCCACAGGCCAGTCCAATACAGGAAATTCCCCTAATTGAGGCTCCCTCAACCCAGGTGTGTCAAGTTGACACTAAAGCTATCCAGCACAATGTTAATATACAATAATTTCTCGAGTACATACTCTAGAGTGGAGTTGCTGGGCTTCAGGGTGTGCTTCTGAGACCCAACAATTTCTAGATCTGTAATTTTAATTTAGGTTCTATTTAGTCACATAAAGGAGTTCGTTGATTCATGTTCTTAAAAAATAGAGCACTGGCAGTTTAATTTATAAATTAAAAGTTCATCTTTTCTGCTAAGTACACAAAACAAACTTTTGCTAGAAAACACTGGGTTGTAACTGAATAACATTTGGATCTTGGAGGAAATCATGATGAGATTTCTTCAGCTCTCCATTCCATTCTATCCCACAGCCTACTAAAATGCGATGACTCCAATAACTCTATGAATTTCCTGAAAGTCTGTCTTCTAGGGTTGCCTCTGGCCTCTGCCTCTTCTAGAAGACAGTTCTTGTTCTGTTCCCTAGTCCTGTTGTTGGCCAACAGAACTGAGCCCCTTCCCTACTGGCCACACCAACTCTAGAGTGCTTTCTTTAGCTTATGATGCTCCTTCAAGTTTCAAAAGAACAAAAAGAATTATTGGCAAGTTTCCTTTTTTATAGTTGAAAGCAGCTTTTAAAAGTTATGTTTCAAATGAAAATTTCTGTCATAAAAAATACGTATCATAATTTTATTTTCTGCGTATCATAATTTTATTTTCTGCTCTGTATTTGTAAAGGAAAGTAATAGTGGTAGGTAGGTCAGAATATAGTAAATCAGTAAATGATTGACAAATGAGTCATTACTAATACAATGACAGTACATTGAATCTGATAAAATGATTTTGTAGTAAAAATGATAGCCAATAAAATATTTTTGAGGGCACTCTATATCCTGGTCTTAGGAATGTAGAAAAGAAATCTGGATAAAGGACATTAAAATCAGAAACTTATTTGAAATTTTATTTTTTATCATTGGCATAATTTCTCTAAAATGTACTGTACCATCTTTAGTTTCACACATAATAATTATAAAATAATTTTAAACTATGAAAGCAACTATGTAAGTCATAAAGTTAGAGTTTAAAAGGGATAAAATATATGTAAAAGTAGCCTATCAGGCACAGAATGGGATGTAAAATAAAGTTACTTTTATTATTAAGGAAAATGAGCAAAGACAAAATTCAATAATGCACCATTTTCTTTAAAATTTGAAACTAAAATATCTTAAACAAGGGGCTAAATAATACATTTCTCATGGGGATATAAAAAGACATATTGTCACATTGTATTTAGTTTTCATACATATATTTACATTGTACTTTATAAGGAAAATTCAAAATTACCAAATAAAATTATGCCAGGGGCTGGAGAGATGGATCAGCAGTTAAGAGCACTGGCTGCTCTTGCAGAGGACCTGGGTTCGATTCCCAGCACCCACAGGGTGGCAAACAACTGTCTGTAACTCCAGTTCCAGGGGATCCGACACCTCTTCAGACCTCCTTGGGCATTTCACAACATGGGTGCACTTACATCATGCATGCAGGTAATACACTCATACACATAAAATAAAATAACAAAACCTTTAAAAAAATTATAGCAGCTTTAAAATCCAGAAAATGTCAATCACCTACGCCAACGTGTGCCTCTTGTATCATGCTCACGTCATTAGCACCATCACCAACAGCCAACGTTATTGGTTTCTCAGGTGAGATTTTTATCAGTCTTATGACCTGAAAAACACACAATGAATTCACTATGATAAAATTTCAAGGTTTTGTATTTGTCTAATGTCATTTATCTGAAACAGTTCTATAGTAAGAGTGGTAGTGAAGACAGCATTTAATTTTATGCCAGACCACAGGGTGCACTTTGTTTTTTGGTCTTTTTGAGACAGGGTCTCCCTGTAGCCCAGCTGGCCTGGAACTCACAGAGGTCCGCCTGCCTCTGCCTCCCAAGTGCTGGGATTAAAGGCAAGTGCCATACCCGGCTTAGATTTATTTTTGAGGGGCAACTCCATTAAGGCTTTAAGAATGTCTTCTAGAAATGTCACAACAAAACAGCTTTATGTTTGAATTTTAGGAAGAAAAGAATTTAAAAAATTTAAAAAGACTAATTTGAAACATTGAAATAAAGAACTGTACTTAAATGAACTGTTAGACAAAATTTTTCTTTCTCAAGAATTTTTTTTCTTTCTAATAAAAGACACCCTAATAATTGACTAAATCTGAAGATTTAAGAAAACATTAAATTCAGTGAAATAAAAACAAATTTCTCTGGAATTTTTTTAAAAAAAGAATTTCAAGACAAGTCAATATAAAGCAAAGTTGCAGTTTATTAAAAGGCATTTAAAAATTAGTATTTATTATATGTGTGCGTGTTTTATGTGAAGTACACCTGTGTGTACTGCCCAGGGAGGTAAGAGGGTGCTGGATCCCCTGGAACTGGAATTATGGATGGCTGTTAATGGCTATGTGGGTAATGGGAGCCTGGGTCCTGTGCAGGAGCAGACAGTACTCTTAATCAGTGAGCCATCTCTCCCATCCCCCTGGGATTCTTTAAAATTCTGTTTTTAAATTTTGTGCATGTGTGTGTATGTGTTGTATGTGCATGTGTACGTGCATGCACATATGTCCATGAGATCACAAGCGTGTGATGATAAGCATGTGCAGGTCAGAGAAAACTATGTGGAGTAAGTTCTTTCCTTCCATCTTTACATGAGTTCTAGGGATCAAGTTCAGGTCACCAGGCTTATCGGCAAGTGACTTGACCCACTGAGCCCTGTTTTGGCATTTTTGAATGAATTTTTACAAGGGCAAGAACGTTAGCTGGGTTTTGTCTCTAGTTTTAATTTCCACATATGCACTGTAACTAAATTCCAGAAACCTAAATAAACAAAACAAACAAAACTACTAGATTTCTAATTTATTACTTTTATACAAAAAAATCAGTACCTTATATTTCTATTGACAATATTTATTTATAAGATATTGATTAAAATTTTTATTACATTTTATTTTGTGTGTATGATGATATTGTGCATGTGTGGAGGTCAGAGGAAAATTTGGAGTCCATTCTCTTCTACCATGTGCAGGCTGGGGATGGAAATCACATGGTCAGGCACTTCTACAGGTGCCTTTACTTCATGAGTCATCTTGCTGGCCTACCAAGAATATTTTCTGAAGGATACAGTCCAAGACATCAAAATATTCTAAATTGTAGATTTACAAAAACTGTTTGACTAGGCTTTCACTTGAAGCCTGGGTATTTGGAATTTAAATATTTCTTTTATGGTTTCACATCACATGTTGACAAGTTAATCAACTTTTCAGCTTTTTCTTATTCAACACTTGATAGTCACTCTTTTCATTATTATTATTATTGTTATTCTTATTGTTGTTGTTTTGTTGTTTTTGGGTAGGGAGAAATCCTCTTGCCTCAGCCTCCTAGATGATGGGATTATAGGTATGTGCCATTATGTTGAGGTTGATAACTTTTAATAAAGAATTATCTTTTTTTTTTTTTTTTGAGACAAGGTCTCACTATGTAGCCCTGACTTGCCTGGAACTCACTATGTAGATGAGGCTGGCCTGAAATTAGAAATCTACTTGCCTCTGCCTCCCTAGTGCTGGGATTAAGGCATGTGCTACCAGGCTTGGCAAGAATGATCATTTTATAAGAACACAGGCCCAAGTAGAGACAAGCATAACCACTTAAAGGTGCAGATTAATGAACACTTGCTAGGCTTGTTTGCTAAGTCACAACCAATGTGGATAATGTTAATTACCACAGTTCAATGTGTGTTTCAGCAAGATCACAGAAGGTAACCAATAAAAATTTACTAGATCAAATGAACAGTGGGAACTTAAAATATTTACTGAGCACTCCAGAGTCCAATGTGTATGGTTAAAACTCATACTAGGAGGTAACTGATCTATACTCATAGACTGTATGTAACTAAATAGAACTATGTAAGGCATTAATCTTGAAGAATATTTTTTACTTCTAAATATCTTTCTACAATATATAACTTCTTACAATATATACTTACTTTAGCTTTCTGTAGTGGTGCCATACGACAGCATAATACAGCTGAACAATTTCTGCAAATGTCCATAAATAGCTTTTCATGCTCCCTGAGTGCAAGAGATAAGCTGGTCCCATCCACTACCAGCCCATGCTGAATCACATGATCCTCTGTCATTCTAGAAGAGAAAATAATGATACCTTCTATGTAACACTGAAGCCATGTTATTTACCTTCACAGAATTAGTCTTATTGAAGGATGGGCAGCTCATCCACACGCTACCATTAATGACTTATGAATAAGTGAAGAAACTCAGTTCTATTACCTGAAAGTTAAGATAAAATACAGCTTTTGTACAAAAATAGAAAATGAATACTACTAGTGATCCCGACTGTCTTAGCTGGCTTTCTGTCACCACGGAGGAAGGCTGCTTACTGGCTTTCTCTGCTGGTATGTGCTCAGTCTGCTTTCTTTCTTTCTTTTTTTCAGGTGTTATTTTTTTTTAACTTAAAATTTGAGAATTTCATGCATGCATATAAGCTGTTTTGATCAAATCCATGCCTACTCCCTCCCCTCCAACTCTTCCCATATCTCCCCATCACTTTTTTCTGACAATTTCATGTACTATCTTTTTTTTTTTTTAATTTTGTCAAAAGTATTTGGGCGCTTTTACCTAATCCCTAAAAGATTTAAGGGTTACCTCTTCAGAGGGAGGAAAGCCTCAGCCTGCTTTCTTATACCACCTGCCCAGTGGTGGCACCGCCCACAGTGGACTGAACCCTCTCTCGCCACTCAACAACCAAGAAAATGCTTCACAGACATACCCACAGGCCAGATGCACAGAGGAAACCCCCTAGTTGAGGTTCCCTCTTCTCAAGTGTGTTAAACTGACAAACAAAGCCAACCGTGACATTGACATTTATTAAAAACACATATAAAGAAGACATAAAGAAAATATTCTAAAACAGAGCCTGGCGTGGAGGTACATGCCTTTAATCCCAGTACCTGGGAGGCAGAGGCAGAGGCAAGTAGGTCAAGCTCTGTGAGTTCAAAGCAGCCTGGTCTACATAGTGAGTCCAGGCCAGCCAGGGCTACATAGTGAGACACTATCTCAAAAATCAAAACTATATATTGGTAAAATACAATTAATAATCTTTAATACTTATAAAGTGTTATGTCTTCCTTATAATATTCAAGTAGACTTTATTTTATTTTACTTTTATTTTCCTTATGTCTTCCTTATAATTTTCAAGTAGACTTAAATTTATTTTATTTTACTTTTATTTATTTTATGTGCGTGCACATGGAGGTCAGTGGACAACCTGCAGGAGTTCCTTTCCTCTACCATGGGAGCTCTGGGGACTGAACCTAGGTAGTTAGGTTTGGCAGCAGGTGCCTTTTATCCACTGAGCCATCTTGCTGGCCTGAAATTACTTTTATAACCAAGAAAAATATTTCAGAAGGTATGTATAAAGTAAATGATCTTTAATTCTTCCCTGACATTATTGTTCTTGAATGCTGTCACCACAATGGCATTCACACTGTAAGACAATTTTCAAGATGAAGTACTTCTAGTCTCAAGTAGAGTTTTCTGGCAGTTATACTGTATTTTAAAAATAGCTCTTTAAGAAACCAAGTTAGAACTGACCAGAAAACTTTCTCCCTGATGGCTAGCTTTCATAGTGCCAGAAGGTGCTTTTGCAGGCCACTAGGGGAGAAAAGCTGGAATGGCATTACCCGCTGGCCAATCTTGCATGCCACAGTACTGACTGTCATGCCAGATGTGCCCACTGGTACAACAGTGAGTGGCATGAAGGTTTTGGGGGTAACCAACCACTTTTGTATGAGATGTGAAGTCTGTGCCACAGGAGAGAATTCGTGCTTGGTGCTATAACCCTGGTCAAAAGCCCATGTCTAAGGAGGTCATGGGCCCTAGGTGGGGGCTTCTACTACTGTCTTGCTGAACAGACACACTGTCAGGCTGCCTTCTAAATATTTACATTTACATCCAGCCTTCACCAAAGAAGTGTCTCTCAGTGGTGGTTAGCACTTAATGCAGAGACTCATAACTGGTTAAAGACCTGAGAATAAGTGACTAGAGTGCTCAGCCTTCAATGGGACATCTATATCATCCCCCCAATTCCTGGCCAAAGTTCAGGGAATATTGTAAAAGAAGGCAAAAAGAAGGTTGGGAGCTGGAGGTTGGGGAGGAATGCTGTGAAATCTCTTCTGGACATAACGTGGACATTGTACTCATGAACTCATAGCAGCTTTGGTTCCCTGCGCAACGTCAAGCCAACAAGATCAGTCAATGTTCAGGCAGGCAGCACTCACTGAACACAGTGGGTTACAAAAAAAATAAGGGGGGATGGATGTATAAGGGGGTGCCTGGCAAATGTGAGGGGAGTCAGGGTACATATGATCAAGATACATTGTTTACATGTATGAAATTGTTAAAGAAAAAAATAGATATTCTGTTAAAAATATATCTCTTAAAATTTTTTTTTCTTTGGAGGGCTGGGGATGGCTCAGCAGTACTTGCTGCTCTTGCAAAGGACTCAGATTTGCTTCCTAACACTTAGATGGTAGCTAATAACTGTCTACAACTCCAATTCCAAGGGGATCCAACATCCTCTTCTGGCCTTGGTGGGCACTGCATGCACATGGTGCACTTATACACATGTAAGCAGGGCAAAACTTAAGATAAAAATAAATTTAAAAAATTGTTAATGTTGGAGGGGCGTGGTGGTGCACGCCTTTAATCCCAGCACTTGGGAGGCAGAGGCAGGCAGATCTTTGTGAGTTTGAGGCTAGCCTGGTCTACATAGTGAGTTCCAGGACAGCTGGGGCTACAGGGAGACTGTCTCAAAAAGACAAAAAAAAAAATAAAAAAAAATAAAAAAGTTAACGTTTTGTTCGATACAGCTGGGACCTCAGCACTGCCCACTAACTTAAGTAAGGCAGTGAGTGCATACTAACAACCATAGCTTTGCCTTCTGGCTCTTTCTGGGACCACAGACTGCAAATGACAGAGCCCTAACATGCTTATACCACAATGAAGCACTCAATTTATCACAAAAAACTAGATTACATTAAATGGGGTCACCCAAATAGATTTCACCTGTCTATAAAAACAGGTTTACAGAAAAGACATTATTTACAATATAAATGCCTAAAAAAAAACCCAAAAACTTTTCATTTATTTGTTTAATGTGTATGAGTTTGGTTAGGCCTGCATGATATAAATGTACCCATGTCAGGCAATGCCTGAAAAGGCCAAAAGAGGGCACTGGATCCCCGGAACTGCAATTATAGATGGTTGTCAGCCGCTATGTGCAAGAATTCTAACATGGGTCTTCTCTAAGAACAGCCAGTGCTTTTAACTGCTGAGCCATCGCTCTAACCCCTAGAATATAAATTATTATGAAATGATCTTTGAACAGTAAAATGTAGGTTAATTTACCAGTTTGCTGATGTTAAAGTTGTTCAGGGGTTAGCAAATATTTTCTGTAAAGGGTCAAGTAACTAATTTTTTTTTTTTTTTTTTTTTTTTTTTGGTGTGTGTGTGTGTGTCGGGGGGTGGCTTTGTGGGCCAAAACTCAAAACTGAGAACATTATAGATATACTTATATAATGAGAAAAAAATTTTTTATTGACTAAGATAAAATGTAGAAATAAGTTAGTATATTTTTAGAAATAACAGGTCTAGTAATAATAAATAATTTGGGGTGGGGTGAAATACTTTGGTTAAGTGAGCACAATGTACATTCTATTGGTAAATTGTCATGTGCTGTTTGAACTGAGAAACTGGCTCCAGAATGGGATTGGCTCTGCCACTTCAGACCCAAACATGTTTATGTCAAGTGTCTTCCAAACCCCTCTCCCCCTTCCATCCTGGGTCAGGGTAGCCCCTGAGTCTAACAGGGATTAAGGAAAATGGCAAGCATCTAAAGGTACTAAAAACACTGGTGGGTCCTTGAGAACAGCCAGAAGGTAAACTGTTTGCAACCACAGCTCCTGTTAGTTATCTCATAATGTAAAGATGCCAACAGCGGGAAAGAGAATGTGGACGCTCATCCATGGAAAGAAGTCCGGCTGGATGCCTCAGCTCCCCCAGTCAGTTTCTGCAGGATGATTGTAAGTATCTGATAAGATTTCCTCTCTCTCTCTCTCTCTCTCTCTCACTGATGCAGTGAACTTTACAGATGGTATTTGAGGGTGTAGGGCTCCCTAAGGCCCTCCCCTTCTTCTGGGGGTCTGGGATACAACCTGGGATAGTGTGTTGGGGGCTGAGTTGCACCTGAGGGCCTCTTCATCTTCCTCCTGTTGCTGTAGCCAAATTCGATGCCCTGTGAGGAAATGGGCTTGGCAAAGTGGTCGCTGAGGGCAATGCCAGCCCCAGCAGCAAAGGTGGAAGAGTAGGGGTCACCGTTAAAGTCACAGGAGACGACCTGGTCCTCAGTGTAACTCAGGATGACTTTTAGAGGGTCCTCTGACCTGTTTCACCACCTTCTTGAGGTCACTGTATTTAGTAGTTTTCTCCAGGCAACGTGTTAGATTCACCCTGGAAACACTGGGTGTAGGAATCCAGAAGGCCATCCAGAGACCTTGGCAGTGCCAGTGGATGCAGAGATGATGTTCTGGGCACAACTACAGCCACCACATTAGTTTCCTAGGGAGACTGTTCATGACCCCTTGACAATGCTGGAGTTGTCTCGAATGACCTTGGCCAGGGGGTTAAACAGCTGGTAGTGCAGTAAACACTGCTGACAGTCTTGAGCAGGTTGTCATACTTCTGATGGTTCACACCATCACAAACATGGGGTATCAGCAGAAGGGACAGAGATGATGAACTTTATGCTGCCACCCTTCCAGTGGGTCCCTGGCCTTCTCCATGGCAGTAAAGACACTATTAGATTTCACAACACATTTGGTACCTGCATCATTGCATTTGATGTAGGCAGGCTCTTGCTCCTAGAAGATGGAAATGGTTGCCCACAGACGACAGTATCCCATTCTTGACTGTACCATGGAGTCTGTGATGGGCAGAATCATACTGGACCATGGAGACCACATAGCTGAGGTCAGGGAAGGATTCACTGATGAACAACATCCACTTTGCCAGAGTTGAAGGCAGCCTCCTGGTGACAAAGCGCCCGATACAGCCAAGTCCATTTATTCTGACCTTCACCATCGTGTGTCAGGGTTGAGGTTAGTACTGCAAAAGATGTGGTTGTCTCTGGAACAGGGAGGGGCAGAGCCCGATGATGCTTGCTCTTTCAACTGTCTACCACAGCTGTCTAATGGAAGCTGTGCGTACCTGATCTGACAAAGTTTGGCTATCTGTCTGCTGCTTCTCTCTGTCTGCTACTCACTATTATTCTTATACTTTTACATGCAATATACTTTATAAACTCACTCATTCAAAACTAAAAGCATGGTTATTACATATAATTTTCTGTATAATACAGAATAGTGGGGTTAAAAGCTAATGTTGTCACATTCAGCAAAGTGGCATGTTAAAAAATAACAAATCAAAGTCTTCCTACATACCAAAGACAGACTGAGAAAGAAATCACAATAGTCACAAAACAAAAACAAACAAAAAACGTCTGAATAAACCTAACCAAGAAGGTAAAGACCTATATGCTGATAAAACACTGAAAGAAGGAGGCACCAGAAGACAGAGAGACCTCCCATAATCTGACTGGTAGGACTCATATTGTGAAAATGGCCTTCCTAACAAAATAGTGAGATTATTGCTACAGATTCAATGAAATCGCCACCAAAATTCCAATGCAATTCTTCACAGAAATGGGAAAAAGAGTCTTAAAATTCATACAGAAACACAAAAGATCCAGGATAGCCAAAATAATCCTGAACAATAAAAATACTGCTGGAGGCATTACATTTCTGATTGCAAGCTGTACTACAGAGCCACAGTAGTAAAAATAGCATGGTACTGGCACAAAAACAGACATATTGATCAGTGGAGCAGAATCAAGGACCCAGATAAAGTCCATACATCTAAATGCACCTGATTTTTGACAAAGATGCCAAAAACATATTGAAAACAAACAAACATAAAAAACCTGAGCATCTTTAACAAATGGTGTCAGGAAAACTGGATGTCTCTATATGTGGAAGAATGAAACTTGGTTCTTCTCTCTCACCTTGCACACAGATAATTCCAAATGGATCAAAGACCTCAAAGGTAGACCTGAGACTGTGAAAGTTCTACAAGAGAGTAGGGAACACACTTGAGGGTACAGGCTCAGGTAAGGACTTTCTGAATAGAATTGGGTTGCCCAAGAAATAAGACTAGCAATCAATAAGTGGGACTTCATGAAATTTAAAAGTTTCTGTACTGCGGCGAAAACTGTTGGTCTTAAAAGGCAACCTACACAACGGGGAAAACCTGTCAGCCATACACCTGACACAAGATTAGCGTCTAGAATATATGTCACTCAAAACCAAAAAAACTAACAACCCAAATAAAAAGTGGGTATGAAAACTCTTAGAAGAGAAAATATAAATGGCTGAGAGGTATTTTTTAAAATGTTCACTATGCTGTAATCCCAACACTTGGGAGGCAGAGGCAGGCGGATCTTTGTGAGTTCAAGGCCAACCTGGTCTACATAGTGATTTCCAGGACAGCTGGGGCTACAGGGAGACCCTGTCTCAAAAAGACAAAAAAAAAAAATTAAAAAAAAGTTCACTATGTTTAGCCACCAGGAAAATGCAAATTGAAACGACTTTAAGATTTTATCTAACCCCAGTCAGAATGGCTAAGATTCAGAAAACAAAAGACAATAAATTTGGTGAGGATGTGAGGAAAGGGGAGACTTCATGCACTGTTGTAGGGATGTCAAACTGTTGCAGCCACTATGGAAATCACTTGCACCAAGGAACATCTGGGGACTCTAACTTGTCACAATAGGCCTTAACACAAATGACAGAATGTATGAGTTCCAGTGGGGGAGCTGTGGGAAGGTGCCAGTGGGGCAGGGCTATAAAGATGATTAAGACTCATTGAGATGTTCTGGATGTTTTGTGTTTGTTTACACAAAAATTCAGTAAAAACAAATTTAGGAAAAAAAGATACATTTTTCATGGAAGAGTTTAACTAGAGTCACACTTACACAGAGGATTATTATGCTTCTCTCAGAAGTCACAGTTGCCAAATAAAAAGCCAGTGCCAGGTGTGGACTACCTTCTCTCAAGTTATTGATCAGAGGTGTCCAGAGATTACCAGAACAATACAGGCTACTGCCATTGTTCTTGGTTGCTCACTGTACCTTAACAGTATGACTATTGCTAAAGACACTATACACAGTGGTTCTAAGATGCGGAGAAATCAAGTTGGTTAGCAAGATATGCTCATGGATGCAACAGTAACATGAACGCTATGAGGATAGCTAACTGTTTTCTGACTGGATTTAAGGCCTGCTCCCTCCACAGGAGGGAACACGTATGCTGGTACTGTAAATCTGGCCAAGAACCCATGGTTGGGGAGCTCCCAGAGATAAACTATTACTATTATTCGACTAAGTAGACGGTATTAGAACTGCTCTCTAAATTTTTCTTTCTATCCTGTGCTGGATAGCTTTAGTGTCAACTTGACACACCTGGGTTGAGGGAGCCTCAATCGGGGAATTGCCTCTATTGGACAGACCTGTGGCCATGTCTGAGGGGCATCTTCTTGATGAGCGATGTGGGAGGGCCCAGCCTACTGTGGGTGGTACCACCCCTGGGCAGGTGGGCCTGTGTTGCATACAGGCTGAGCAGGGGCCAGGGGAGCAAGCCAGTAAGCAGTGGTCCTCCATGGCCTGTGCTCTAGCTCCTGCTTCCAGGTTCCTGCCCCGAGTTCCTACCTTGGGCTCCCTGATGAACTACGACCTGGGAGTTGTAAGCTGAATAAATGCTTTCCTCCCCAAGTTGGTATTGGTCAGAGTCTTTTGTCACAGCAATGAAGAAACAAACTAAGACATACCCATAGATGAGTGCAGCTCTCAAACCTCATCTGAGAAGTTTCTTTGTGAAATACACAGAGGTTAATGCAGAAACTGACAACTGCTCGAAGTGCAGAATGTGTCAGTGGAGTGAGTGCTCAGCCACAAATGGATATCAATATCAGTCCACCCTCCCAAGGCTCAGGGACCATCACTCCAGAGGGAGCAGAAATTGTAAGATCCAGAGGTTGGGGGGGACCAGAGCAAAACAGTCTTCTGGACCTGGCAGAACCAACAGCTATACTCATGAACTCACGGCAGCTGTGGTTGCCTGCATAAGGCCTGCACAAGATCAAGCAAGTCAATATTCCAGCATGAAATGGGAACACGCCATGACCTTCTACCCTTAACTGTTGGCTTCTGTGAGAAAAGAGTCAGCTTTCTTTAAGGGTATGCCCCTAGTAGGCCAATCACTCTCCAGAGGACCATCCAACACCCAGGAGCATATGGGCAGCACAAATTGGACTCAATGGGTTAAACAAAAAAAAAAAAAAAGAAAAGACAGGACAAAGTTGAGATGGTAGGGAGGTAGGGTTGGATCTTAGAGGAGTTGGGGAGGAGGGGAGTAAATACGATCAAAATAGGAAATTCTCAAAGAATAAAATATTAAAATATTTTTTTAAAGTTATATTCTTTATCATCAAAATTGATTTCAAAAGTTCACCTGTTAATGCTGATTACTGATCTGTTATAAGTGTTTATACTTCAATATAATATAACTGTATTGTAAGATTTCAGAATTCTTCTTTGGCAATCTCTTTTCAAACAAGCTGTAAAGCTAAAATATCACTTCATAACAAAAATACTTCGTCAGGTTCTTCAGTAATAAAGTAACCACTACTCCACCAGGCCTTAAAATTGTGATATTGGTCCATTTTTCTTTTTTTTTGTTTTGTCACTGGGCTTTAGACTGACAACAGAAATGTTAAATATCACAATATGGTGCTATGTTATGTATTTAAAACACTATCAGCTTGTAATTGTGTCACTTTGACTTGTATGGTACCAAGCAGCAGTGCAAAGAGATGATAAAGGGCTTCATAAGAGTTCTGTTGTAAACAGTCAACTCAAATGGCACAATGATAACATTTAGAGATACAAAGGATATAATTTTTTTTTGGTCTTTCTTGAGACAGGGTCTCCCTGTAGCCCCAGCTGGCCTGACTCACAATATAGATAAGGCTGGCCTTGAACTCACAGAGATCCACCTGCCTCTACCTTCTGAGTGCTGGGATGAAAGGCATGTGCTACTACATCCGGCAGAAATAAATGTATGTGGCTGTGCTAAGCAAACTCTACAGATACTAAAATCTCAATTTCACATTTTTATACCATGAAATAATTCTCTGGATTACTTTTCATCTATCAAAGCACCAAAGACATCTTTTAGCTATGGGATGTAAAAAGCAGGTAATGGGGGCTCGAGAGATGCTCAGCGGTTAAGAGCACTGGCTGCTCTGGCAGAGAACCAGGGTTAGATTCCCAGCACCCACATGATGGCTAACAACCATGCTAACTACAGTTCCAGGGGATCCAAACCCTCTTTTGTCCTCTGCAGGCATTGCCCAACACAGGTACACTTAGACACATGCAGGCAATACACTCATACATACAAAATAAAAATAACATTAAAAAAAAAAAAAAAGCAGGTAAGGCACTGAGTGGCCAGCTGTAGTTTACTGGCCCAGACACTGCTACCTTACCTTCTAGAAAGCTGCCTCAACTGTTCAGCACATTCGTTGTCTGATTTCTGGTTGATAAGTTCAAGGATGTTCATGGTTCTATGAAAATGTCCACATGATAAACTCACACTAACAGCTGTTTCATGCTTATCTCCAGTAAGTACCCATACTTTGATACCAGCCATTCGCAATGCTTCAATAGTTTCTCGAACTTTATCTTGTAGTCTAAAAATAAAAGAAACAAAATTGGTAGAGGAAAATACTCTTTTAACTATATATTAAGTATAAACCACATAATATGTATAAAGTATAGACTCTTACAAAAAAACACTATAGTGTTTCACCATAAGTGATTTTTTTTTCACCATTAGTCAAGCAAAAAGAATAAACTACTGGCCATGTAGCACATACAAAATCAACCAGTTGAACTATAAGACTTTACTTTTTAAGAGGATTATCATCAAATTTTTAAGAGACCAACTAATTAGGTAGCCTTCATAAACTCTTAGGTGACTAGGAAGTCTTTGAGGGTAGGGATTGAACCAGGGCCTCATACACGCTAGGCAAGCAAAGTGTCACTGAGCTGTACTCGTATCTGCTAGGATAAATTTCAAATAAAAGATTTCTCTCTCAAGAAAATCTCTCAAGTTGCTCTTACGGTTAAATCCCAGGTTGCAGAAAATAAAGGATTACATAACTTCAGGTTAGTTTAAGAAATCTCATGAGCTGGGCATGATGGTGCACACCTTTAATCCCAGCACTCCACAGAAGCAGAGATAGGTGAACCTCTATGAGTTCAAAGACAGTCAAGGCTATATACTGAGACCTTGTCTCAAAAACCCAAAAAACTTAGAGAGAAAGCAATCTCATGAGAACTGAAAAGTAAATGAAACTACATTAAATATATGCAAATCTCTGTAAATATAGGGGACAGAAGGAAACACCAGGCTTGGCTTAATTTGTAGAAATCAATTTGTTTCCAAGAGTTCAACTTAATTCAAGAAACGAACACTGAACCAGATGCTGAGGTACAATGTGAATGGGTTGTGAGTGACCTATGTCAACAGGGGAGAAAATCTGTAACAAATAATTTAATTAGTATCATGAAACAGAACTTCCTACAAAGCAGAAAGCACACAAAGAAGGCATTTCAATCCTGTGAGGTATCAAGAAGGGTCTTCCTGGAGGACTGTGAACAACTGAGCTGTTTTATGAACAGGTATTTGCAGATGTACAGAGGGAAGAAGGCACAGCCTTGCCAAGGAAAGAACATGAACAGCACAAAGCTAGCTACAGCTGGTGAGTAGGCGAACAGCAGGAAGTGTGGCATTATGGAAACACAGGGTAGAGGAGCAGTGGGGGAAAGTGCTGAATGACTTTGTATGACAGACTAAGGAATAGTCTAAAAATGAAAGCTGAGAGAAGAATACAGGTAATTTTCTTTCCTCTATTTCAAATATCTGACTGGAACAAAGAGCATTATGCTGAGCGACAAAATCAAAGCTTTAGCTCTTTATTTTGTTATAGGGTGCTAATAAACAGTATGTATTCTATATATTAGAAGTACTAGACTGACATATTTTTGAGAGGACAATGACACCGCCTGCTTCAGATACTCACCTGTCCTCCACTGCTGTAGCTCCCAGCAAAACTAGGTCCTTCTCGATGAACTGAAAGACATCAGCCAATTTCTCTTCCCGGTGCTGCAAGGCAGTCCTGGCTTCAAAGAGGCGCCTGTCTATTTCTTCATACTCTTCAGATGTAAACTGTCGGTAGGCTACACAGAGAGTCCGCAGTCCTTTCTAAAATAAGAGAAAATAAAGACAAAATTGAAACTATATGACTAATGAAAATAAATGAAGGATTTTGGTTCAATCCCTAATACTGCAAAAAAAAAAAAGAAAAGGAAAACAAAAGTCCTGCAGATTCATTACCAAAAACATCAATTATCAATAATTTAAAAATCCAGAGTCAAAAAATTAGTGTCATAGACACTAGCAATCTGAGAGAGGAGCGTGTTATTACAGCTCTTTCAAGCTGGTAAGTCAAGAAACTGCTCAAAACAATGAAACTGACTGAATTAGAGACTATTAGAGACTACAAAGGACCATAAAAATACCTTGTGACTTTAAAACTTATAAAGCCAGAGAGTACAATATTCAAGACTGTCAGGAAACAGAAAGTACCAGGTTTTACTTATCTGTTTTAACTTCTAAATCCACTTCCACCACTTGTAAAACTGAACTTTTATAAGCAAAAGAGGACATAATTTCCAGACTAAAATTTACACTTAAACAAGTTTATAAAATGATTATTACCAAACAAGCTATAAATTTTAGGCCTACCAAATGATTGACATTTATTTATTTATTTATTTATTTATTCATTTCTTTGAGACAAGATCTCACGTATCCTAGACTGGCCTCACATATTTTTGTAGCCAGGGATGAACTTGAACTTTGGAGTTGCTGCCACCACCTGACTGCTAGGGTCTCAGTATATGCCACCACACTCAATTATGCAATGCATGGTAGGCATACTACTAATATCCAGATCCTAAACCTGACTCTAAAGACTATCATTTTATCTTCACCAGTGAATTGGCATTACTCAAACTTAGGAATCTGTGTTTGATTATGTGATTTATATAGGGCTCAATGTTTTCTTAAACTCTGAAAGTTAGTACCTAAATCTAAAAAAGAAGTTAAAAGTTTTTTTTTTTCATTATACATTTTTCTCAGGAAAACCCAAAATAAATGTTTTAGCAACAGAACAAAAGACTACATTTAAAAATATTATATGACTATATTTAGCAAATTCTAAATACTGAAATTTCCTGATTTGTAAATAACCTACACCTACAAATAACACTCTTGGTAAATGACAGTTAAAGCATTCATTCATTCATTCCACAAAAACTATGTGCTGGGACTGTTCTGGCTATTGAAATGTCTGTCATAAATGCCACAGTAGGTAGATGAATTAGATCACAGGCAGTCAGGAAACAGACAATGGAAGAAGTTACAGACTAGCAAAAGGAGGTAAGGACAGACCAGCATGGAACACACCAGGAAATGTAAGCACAGAGGTACTGAATTCAGGCTTTCTGTTTTTTCTAAGAGTCCCTTGTATTTTTTTTTTCCATTTTAATTAGACAGATTCACTTTCCATAAAATTAACCCTTTTCAGAAAGTACCAAGTTGGGGCTTTTAGGATATACAGAGTTACACAATCATCACTGTTAGTTTCAGAATATTTCACTCCTAAGGAGCCTTATCCATTAGCACACACTGCCTTCTCTTCCCTTCTTGCAGCCTCTGGTAACCACTCACCTGCTTTTGCTTATGAACCTGCCATCTGGCTGTTTCACATCACTGTACTACGCAGCCTTTTGTGGCTGGCTTCTTTCAGCAGTCTTTTCAGGCTCATAGACACCATGCTGTAGCATGTACAGCAGCACCTCAGTTCTCTAAATGGCAAGTAATATTCCACTACATGGAATATCACATTTTATGCACTCATTGGCTAGGCATTGAGGCTTCTCCACTTTGGAGGCTATTAGGAATAATGCTGCTCGTGAACACGCATCTTAGATCTTGCATGTTTAACTTTCTCTCTGATGCATACCCAGGTGTGGAGTTGCTGTGTCAGGTTCTAGTTTTATTTTTACATTTTGAGGAATTGCCAACCTGTCCAAAGATTATAGACATACATCTCTGGAATTCCTCCATATTGTCCGAGGAAGTCTTGTTTAGTCAGGCTAGTTCTCTACCACACACCTCCACAACACAATTTCTTTTCCTTTTAAAACTCAGGATCTTGGGGTTGGAGAGACGGCTCAGTGATTAAGAGCACTAGCTGCTCTTGCAGAGGACCCAGATTCCATTCCCAGCAACCACATGGCAGCTAACAACCATCGGTAACTCCAGTTCCAAGCGATCCAACGCTCTCTTCTGACCTCCATGGGTATTCCATGACAAGGGTGCACTTACATACTCGTAGGCAATACACTCATACACATAAAATAAAAATTAAAAAAAATATATATAAATTTAAAAAAAGGTCTTATTATATTGACCCAGTTGCTCTTGAATTTCTGGGCTCAAGGTATTAGCCTCCTCAACCACTGCCCCTGTATAATGAGCAAACAAAAGAGCAAAAGAGAGAGAAAGAGAGGGAGAGAGAAAGAGACAGAGAGAGACAGAGAGAGAAAGTAAAAAAGAGACTGAGTGTGCGAGAGAACAAGGGAACAAGACAAAGAGTGAGTCAGAGTGAGAGTGAAAGAGAGAGCAAGGGAGGGGGGAAGGAATGAGAGCAGAGAAGGGGAAGGAGAGAGAGAGAGAGAGACCAGGAGGGAAGAAGGAGAAGGGAGGAAGGAAGGAGGGAGAGGGACAGACGGACAGAAGGACAACAGCAAAGACATACAAGTGATGGATGGACACAAGGCTCTGCACGTACGAGCCAAGTGTTCAGTTGCTGAGTTTCAATCCTAGCCCCAAATCCTCTTTTCTGTTAATGGCACAGTTTGAGTGGTATGTGCAACCAGCAGCGGCCCAACTAGAACAGGTTTGAAGAAATTTACATGCTAGCAGATTGAAAATCAGTTTTTATATCAAGAATATGGAACCAACAATTAGTGTAGTAAAACTACAGAATTTCCGTAATTCTTATAAATTCTCAGGATTCTGAAAAAAACCTAAAGTCTTTCACAAATATATTTTAGAACATTTAAAAAAATATTATAGCCCAGCCCCACAGCTTCCTGGAGCCAGCAGCTTGCTTGGGGAAGTCTGGCTGCTCCACCCACTGCTCCTTGACTCCCCCCGCCTCGTTCACCCTCCCAGTTCCCCCAACCCATCTCTCCTCCAAGCAGGGGCACTGGCCCATTTCCTGTCTTGGCACCTCAGACCCCTGGACTGACCTCTTGACCCAAACTCCCCACTGCTTCCTGATCCTTGGCATCCAGACCAAACCAATTCCTCCCTGTGGTTCCCAGGAGAACTCAGGCCTCTTCTCTCCCCGACCTGCCTGTGGATCCCTGGAGGCCAGCATCTTTCCTGGGCCCTGCTCCCAGACCAGCCTAGCCCCCATATTCCTGAGGCCAGGGTCTTTCCTGGAGGGATCCAGGCCTTAGGAGAAAGCCTGAGAGCATCTGTTCCTCATCTGACTTGGGCCTCTGTGGGAACTCCTGAGCAGCAAGATGAAAGTAAATTTGCCACTCCAATATAAAATTAAAAGAGAGAACCTGAAGCCTAGAACAACCAGCTTTTCATGCCCAACAAGTAAACCACAAAGGCACATAAAGTTTACAAAAAGAAGCAGATCTAAACTCAACAAAGGAAGACTTAAATCTCACACAAGATTCAGAAACCATGAAGGAAGTTCACATGTCAAAGTCACAAAGAAAAAATAATAACACAAAAAACCAAAATAACATATCCCCACAAAGTACAATCAGTCCTCTAGAAGGGTAAAATGAGAACCCTCCTAGAGACAACACAGGACATGGAACTCAAAAGAACAATTATAAACATGACAGAAGAATTCAGTAAATTTAAAGAACACACAAAGAAATCAAAGAACTGAAGTAAGATAGGGATAAACTTCTGAATCAATTCAGAAAAGAGAAATATTGAAGACTATTCAGGCTGAAATAAAGAAGGAAATGAAATGAAACACTCAGTAAGCCAATTAGAAACGACAGGAGAAAGACTCACCAATAGGATGAATGAAATGGAAAACAGAATATCAAGACTGGAAGATAAAGTGGATGAATTAGAACACTCAAGCAAAGACTATGAAAAATTTAAGAAAACACAAGAATGGAATACTCAGGAATTGTGTGACACCATGAAAAGACCAAACTTACATATCCTATGCATACACAAAGGAGAAGAATCTCAGGATAATGGCATGGACGAGATCTTCAACAGGATTGTAGAAGAAAATTTCCCCAAATCAAAGAAAGACATGCCAATACAAGTACAAGAAGCATACAGAACAGCAAACAGACAGGAACAGACAGGACCAGAACAGAAACTCTCCACGGCACATCGTAGTAAAAACACTACATGCACAAAACAAAGAGAAAATTCTGAAAGCTGCAAAAGAGAAACAACAAGTCACATATAAAGGAAAACCCATCAGAAATACAGCGGACTTTCCAGTGCAAACTATGAAAGCCAGAAGAGCCTGGACCAAAGTATTCCCAGTTCTAAATGACCACAGATGCCAACCTAGATTACTTTACCCAGCCAAAATGTCTATTATGGTCAAAGGAGAAAGAAAAATCTTCTATGACATAAACAGGCTGATACCACTCCTTGGCATATACCCAAAGGACTCATCCTATTGTAGAGACACTTGTACAAGCATGTTTTTTGCTGCTCTTTTCACAATAGCTAAGTGATAGAAGCAGCCTAAGTGTCCCTCAACTGACGAGTGGTTAACAAAAATGTGGTATATTTACACAATGGAGTTCTATTTAGCAGTAAAGAAAGATGAAATAATGAAATTTGCAGGTAAATGGATGGATCTAGAAACTGTTATAGTAAGTGAAGCAACACAGACTCAGACAAACAAACGACGTATGTTCTCCCTCATATGTGGCTCCTAGCACCAAATCCTTTTAAATTCCAGGTCCTTTTAATAAGATGATGCTATACAGCAGTCCCTTCTGCATGAAATAACTATCATCATCACGACTTCAGCTGAGCCTGATCGTGAAACATCGTCACAACTGGGCTTGTTGAGGGTTGTGCTCATTCATTAAAGGAGTGCCAAACAGGGTCATTGGACCCTC